GGCTTAAGCTTAAGCTGATGCTTAGGTTGCTGATGCTTAGGTTAAGCTGATGCTTGGGCTTAAGCTGATGCTTAGGTTACTGATGCTTAGGTTGCTTGATGCTTAGGCTTAAGCTGATGCTTTGGCTTAAGCTGATGCTTAGGCTTAAGCCGATGCTTAGGCCTTGCTGATGAGCTTAAGCTGATGCTAGGCGTGCTTGGCTTAAGCTGATGCTTAGGCTTAGCTGATGGCATGTTAAGCTTAAGCTGATGCTTAGGCTTAAGCTGATGCTTAGGCTTAAGCTGATGCTAAGGCTTAAGCTGATGTCAGTTAGCTGATGTCACGTCAGTTACTCGATGGCTGATTGGTACATTTCTAGGTTACAAAATAAACAAGCTGGGTTCGATCCCAGCACTCGAATCAGCTTAATCATTGGGTATGATGAAGCAAGTTCAAAACAAAACCCATAACTCCATCACTTCTTGTTCTTTTTTCCAATATTGATAGGATTATTGTAAGCCGATAGTCATTAAACTGTAAATAAACTTGTAAGTTTATAGAAATATTTTCAGGGTTTTATATTCAATGAAATTCAATGAAAAAAATATAAGCGAGTTCTCGTTGTCGTTGTCGTTGTCGTTGTCGTTGTCGTTGTCGTTGTCGTTGTCGAGCGAATTTGTCGTTTAACTTTGAGCTCACTTTGGAAATAGTTGGAAATTTGTGAAATTTCTAACTTTTTCTGGGTTTCTGGGTTACTCGAAGTGATCATGATCATGCAACGTTTTCAGGGTAAAACGATTCAAGTGAATTGGGTGATCGACGGTGACCGGCAGGACATCCATCACGATATTTGCATCATTTTCCTCGCTCGAATTCAACATTGAAATGAAATTGCTATCGAAAAAACAATTCACCAAAAATTTCTTTCTTTCGAAAATTCTTCCCTTTTTCTATCTAAAAAATAAATGTTTAACTTCCTCATAAATCCTTTCTTTGAATGTTCTAAAATTGTCTAAAGTTTGAAAGACAAAAATGTGTAGGAACACTTTTGGGAAGAACTTTCCTTAACTCTCTTCATTTTCTCAAAACCACTTTCCCATACACTCTTCAAAACGGAGGAAATCTCTAACCGATTTCAACAAAACTAGAGTAAGGCTTTACCAGCAACGCCTGAATAGTAGATTGGATGAATTAGAATGCAAAACGAAAGTCAAAATCAACTCCACAATCGATTCTATTGAATCAACTGGATACTTAAAGTCAACTGGATACGCTCTGGATCAACTGGATACGCTCTGGATCAACTGGATACGCTCTGGATCAACTGGATACGCTCTGGATCAACTGGATACGCTCTGGATCAACTGGATACGCTCTGGATCAACTGGATACGCTCTGGATCAACTGGATACGCTCTGGATCAACTGGATACGCTCTGGATCAACTGGATATGCTCTGGATCAACTGGATACGCTCTGGATCAACTGGATACGCTCTGGATCAACTGGATACGCTCTGGATCAACTGGATATGCTCTGGATCAACTGGATACGCTCTGGATCAACTGGATACGCTCTGGATCAACTGGATACGCTCTGGATCAACTGGATATGCTCTGGATCAACTGGATACGCTCTGGATCAACTGGATACGCTCTGGATCAACTGGATACGCTCTGGATCAACTGGATACGCTCTGGATCAACTAGATACGCTCTGGAAACAACTGGATACTTCAAGTTCATGATCTTAAATCTTAAAAAAAAGATCTTAAAGCTTTCGGAGATCTTGAATGTCTTGAAAAAGCTTGAAAAATATTTCAAATCGTTTCTTTTATGTTGCTAACTTTCAATTGAATATTATTGAATAGGAAAGTAGTGTATAATGTTGTTTATCAACTGTACGTACTATCTGTATCTGTACTGTACTGTACGTATCCAAATGAAATTACTGTATAATATTTCTAGTAAAGTTTGATCTTTATATAACTCCTAGATTTGGGCGATTTGGATACCGGTGAAGACAAAGACACAAGTGAGAGCCTAATATGTAACATAATACTGTAAAGCCTAATATTGCATTAATTGATGATACTAAAGCGTACCAGTGAACGATAACAGCTTGAATATTTCTTGAGATTAACAATCACTATGAGATATCAACTCAAGAAGCATTGTCTGCCTTTAAGTGTTTAGTTCTTTAAATTTAAAAAGATTGAAACATTCCATTATCCAATTTCTTCAGAATTCGATTTCCAGTGAATTCTGATTTCGAGAACTGTCATAAAAACATCGTTAAAATCGTCAGATCGTTAAACTTTTTCCATAAACTCTTTTCCAAATTGATGCTAGTCTTTAAGTAAATTTTTCTGAAAAAGGAAGATTCTGTAACATTCTAGAAGTGATTGTGAAGAAGAAGAAGAAGAAGAAGAAGAAGAAGAAGAAGAAGAAGAAGAAGAAGAAGAAGAAGAAGAAGAAGAAGAAGAAGAAGAAGGAGAATTCGAGTGGATGTTGTCAACGAGAGGAAATTCCCAGGCTTTCCCCCGCCCGCGCAACTCGAAATCGGGGGAAGCGTCAGAATTTCTACACCACACCCACTGGAAAAGTTTTGAAATTTTAAGTACCAGTCATATAGCATATAGCTTGACAATAGAAATCCATTTTATGGTAGAGCAAAAGGTGAAAACAGTCTGACGTCAGATCTGGGACTATGACGGGAAATTTAAAAGTCAATGCTAACCAAGCCAAGCTAAGAGGTTGTTTTGGCTTCTGTTCTTCTGTCCAGTTCTGTTCTTCTGCCCAATTCTGTTCAGCTGTTATTTCTACCCTAAGATCGACTTCTATTTGATTTCCAAATCAGAAAAAAAAATATATAAAAGTATATAGAATAGTTTTCTGTATCAGACTTTTAGCTGTCCAAATCTAGTGAGCTCAAATCCTGAAAGTTAAGATTAAAGTTTGTGATCTGATATACGTTCGTTTTATGGTAGAGAAATAGGTAGAGTAGAAGAATTGATTGATAAAAAAAATCTGGTAATAGATCTATTCAGAATACAGAATACAGAAGAATCCCAAGATGTCATGCCGGACTTTGAACTCTAAAGTATTAGGCTCCAGGCTTTTCATTCCGTACATCCGTTTAAAACCAATAAATGCATCAATTAAACTCTGGTTTGTTTCATTAAAAAGGCCAAAAGGCCAATTATTGTTCTGCAAAATCACATTAAAACGGGTTTCAAATAGAGTGTTTTCCTCGAGTGAGTAAGTAATTACTCGAGTAAAATCTGCATCTACTCGATTAATCGACGTTTTTGTTCGAGAGTAACTACGAGTAATCCTCTTTACACGTCGAGTAAATTGAATATCTTTACTTGTGAAGGGAATTTGCCACCAAATCAGTTAAACGGCTGAATATCTTTAAAAGAGTCGTATATAAGTCGTCGCTCGTGATTTTTTTCGCGAGAGACATTACTCGAAACATTACTCGAAACATTACTCGAAACATTACTCGAAACATTACTCGAGACATTACTCGAGACATTACTCGAGGCATTACTCGAGACATTACTCGAAACATTACTCGAAACATTACTCGAGACATTACTCGAGACATTACTCGAGACATTACTCGAGACATTACTCGAAACATTACTCGAAACATTACTCGAAACATTACTCGAAACATTACTCGAAACATTACTCGAAACATTACTCGAGTGGAACACACTCTAGACTTATATGATTAGATTTTTCAAAGGTTGAAAAGTAAAACTGAAAAACAAAACAAATTTGGACTAGATATTGGCTTATCAGCCTGTCTTGATCCATCTTTCTTTCCATATTTCTCAATATACTTTATTTCATTCGAAAGCTTTTGAGATCCTCTATTTTTTGAGCTATAGATTATCTTAATGCGATAGATTTGAATAGAGTGTTTTCCTCGAGAGTAAGTATTTACTCGAGTAAAATTTGCCTGAGTAACTTTTACTCGATTAATCGACATTTTTGATCGAGAGTAACTACGAATAATCCTCTTTACACGTCGAGTAAATTGAATATCTTTACTTGTGAAGGGAATTTGCCACCAAATCAGTTAAACGGCTGAATATCTTTAAAAAGAGTCGTATATAAGTCGTATATAAGATTTTTGTGCCAATTTTTTGCAATAATTTTCGCTAAAAGTACGGTAAAGTACGGTAATTTTTCCTAAGTGTGCGTTCTAAAAAAGCGCATTACTCGTGAGGAAAACACTCTAGTTTCAAATGTTTTATGTTTGAATTTTTTTTGAGAGGGTGAAGTCGAGTAGTCAAAAATGGTAGCTTGATGATGCAGTTTAGGTGGTACCTTTAGGTGCTGTGGGAGATCGTTTTTTCAATTCAAAGAGGCCACAAAAATGAATCTTTCTCTATTGGCTCTTGGAAATGTAATCTTAGCTCTTGTTGATGGAAAGAGTAAACATATTCCATACAGAGACTCAAAGCTCACTCGATTGTTACAGGTAAACAATTGAATATAAATTTGGCCATAAAATTCCTGATGATGCCAGTTTAGCGTTAGGGAAATCGATATTCTTATAGCTAAAAGCTAAAAGCTATCAATAGCTAAAAGATAGAGCATAAAAAATTGCGTATATAGCTAAATTTTCAGAGAACCACTTTTAGCCATTCAGCCAATTTCTTTGTAGAGAATTTCTGAACCCCGAAAACCCGAAAACTCTCGAGTTTACAATGTAAGTAAACCGGAAATTGACTTAAAAAGATGGGAAACTTAACAATAAACAGTAAAAGATGTAGAATAACTTGTGAATGTACAAGATTTCGAAGTATACAGTCGATTTATGCACATCTTCTCTTAGCAACCCTATCAACCCTGTCATTTCCCGTCACATCATCTCTATTTTTCTCTGTTAATGCTATTTTTTGTTCTCTTTTTTATGAAATAATTAAGAATTTCTTCTCTTCTTCTTTTCTTCTTTTCTTTTCCCTTCTCGCATTTGAAATGAAAGCACCGCCCCATCCTTGAGATGTCTCACGATTTCCCCTCCAATCTTGAAACCACTTTTCTCCTGCTCGTTCTCCTCTCCGAGTGGCCCCCCTTTTCCCTAACATCATCCCCATCAACTCAAGCAAAGGTACGGTAGATTTATTTTTTCTTTAAACTTAGCGATATTTTTAGGAGACTGGATTAGAGTTAGATATGCTAACTTAGACTTTAACTATTGGGTTGGTGGAAAAGTTCTTTCCGATTTTTGGGAGAGCACCTTAAATTTGTCGAATTTTGACGTTTCCAATGTCCAATTTTGACGCTCATCCTAAAGCTGAATTCAAGATGGATCGATTGATAAAAACCGTTTTGAGATATCTCTTTTCTAAAGTTTTACAGCTATTTTAGTAAAGGGCGGCAGAGCCAAAAAAATCGCTGTTTTCACGTTTCGTTAGTTTTCCGTGCAGAAATCTAGGCTAAAAACATGTGTTTCGTGATCAGCGTCAAAAATAACCCCCTAGACACGCATTTCTGCATTTTTTTTCTGTACGGAAAACTAACGAAACGTGAAAACAGCGATTTTTGGCTCTGCCGCCCTTTACTAAAATAGCTGTAAAAACTTTTAGAAAAGAGATATCTCAAAACGGTTTTTACCAATCGATCCGTCTTGAATTCAGCTTTAGGATGAGCTATAAAATGTCAAAATTGGACAAATTTAAGGTACTCTCCCAAAAATCGGAAAGAACTTTTCCACCAACCCAATACTTAACTAAAATTGACGACTAACAAAAACAAACAAAAACTACCGAAAAATACTTAATGTAGGTTATTTAGAGAGACAAGGATTACGATAAGATTACGATAAGATTATGAAAAGATTACGGTAAATGGGAAACAGTTTAGTCGCGAGAAGTCAAATGAAACTTATGAACTCTTTAGTAAGGTTCTAGATTATCTTACCTTTTATCTACAATCTAGCCCAGTTCTAGATTGTAGATTGCAAGAATTGTAAAAGTTATGACCTGCAGTAATCTTATCGAATCTTTGTGTTTTGGGAATTCAACCATTTCCCCGCAAGTTGCCATTTGTGGAAGTGGATTCTTTTCCTCAATTTCCCATTCATTCAATTGGTCCCAAGTGGGAACGGCTATTTTTTAGAGATCTCAAAATATCTCGCAATTTTTGACCTTCTTTTTCTTAGATTTTTTTGAGTTCCATTCATCAAAAAAGCTTTGAAATAAAAGCTTTGAAATTTAAACCTCAAAAACTACGCAATCATAATAAAAGTTTAGCCACAAGGGGATTTCTTTAGATTTAAATTTTACTTGAAAAGTTCTTGAGTAGAATTATTTTTTGAAAGCTGTATAGTGATTGTCATCGAGTGCTTTGAGCTTAACCTAAACCCGCCCTGTATAGTGATTGTCATCTAGTATAGTGATTGTCATCTAGTGCATCGAATTTGTCAAGTTTTCCTTGCCAATCGAGTACGCTAGCAAGGATGTGTTTACAAGGCAGATAGTGAGCAAAGAGTTTTCTAACAAATCTCCGCTCACAATCTGAGCGCAAGTAAACGACTCATTTGGCTCTATTTTCACTAAGTCATTTGAAATTCTGTGAAAATTTCCTCTAACTAGGCCTTGTTTTTCCCCTTTTTTTCCTTTTCCATTCACTAATTCCTTCCCATCTTTGATTGAATTCGATAGATGAGCCAAGAACGAAGGGTTTGAGTGGAGAAAAACACGGCCGAATTCCTAATCTTAATTATTTTCCATCAGTCGGTGCTAAAAAATCGCGCATTTCCATCTTAAGTAGGTGATGAAAGAGGGAGGAAAAGGGCAAAATAAAAATGGATATCCGATTGACGTTTTGACGAAAATGCGTATTCTTTTGGGCGAAAAGTTCATGCTTAGAAATATAGGATGTCCCAAAAAAACTCCATTTCGGGTCAAATTTTAGAAATACAGTACTGGACAATGAAATATGATATTTGAAAAACGATCGTCACTTTCGCGCGTCTGTAACTCCCTTGTCTTTGAGTTTAAACTATTAGTGTTATACATTTTCTGGAAGCTCTTTCCAAGGGCTACACGATGGTAATATTAATATTTAGAAATACGGTAAAGACAAGGGAGTTATAGACGCGCTGAAAGTGACGATCTTTTTCAAATATCATATTTCATTGTCCAGTAGTGTATTTCCGGTGGCTCAAGGTAGTAGGAGTGGGAAAATGATTTTTTTGAGGTCGGGAAATCTTGCTGTTTTTTTCATTTTCACGATATCATGCTCCTTTATGCAAGAAATTTCAGAGTTACCATGATCACCACCATCAGACTTTTCCCATAAAATTAAAACTAAACTGGCATTGTGGTGCATAATAAACACTATTAGGATAACTACAAATTTTAACCATTTTATTGAGCCAAACACTATTTTATTTTAGTCAAACACTTTATTGATCAGCGTTTCGTTTGGAAAAACGGGGCACTTTCTTTTAAAAAAGGCCATCTGAAAATCTCTTATATATGACAGATTATCATATAATGTGGGAGTGGGACAAATGCTACCTTTTTTTGCGCACCTGGACATTTGCGCACTTTTTTTCCGCACCATTAGCGCACTTTTTTTCGCTTTTTAAAAAAGCTCTAAAAGCTAATATTAACCAATTTCTATTCCAAAAGTCGTTTTTCTAGGTAATTTGAGGGCGTAGAATCGAAATTTTGGCATATCAGAGCTTGTGGAAACAAACGGACGGAGTTATACAAAGAGAAAAATCAACAATTCTCTGTAATTTGACCTAGCCGTTTTGTCTTTCAAATTGGTTCCACACGCTCTGTTATGTCAAAATTTGAATTCGACACCCTCAAATTACCTAGAAAAACAACATTTGAAATAGAAATTGGTTAATATTAGCTTTTTAGAGCTTTTTTAAAACGCGAAAAAAGGTGCGCTAATGGGCAAGGTGCGGAAAAAAAAGGTGCGCAAATGTCTGGGTGCGCAAAAAAAAGGTCGCATTTGCCCCACTCTCTATAGTGTAGATGAATAAAGTGTTTGGCTAAAAAGCTAAAATCTTAGTTTATATATTAACTCTAATATGACAACGCGATGCCAGTAGAGGTTTTATTTTTATGGTAAAAGTCTCATTGTGGTGGCTCATATGGTGATGGTGACCATGGTGGCGAGGAAATTTCATGCATAGAGGGTCATAATCTGCTAAAAATCATGAAACAACCAGAATTTCTCAATCACAAAAAAATTCGCACCATACCTACTACCTTGAGCCACCAAAAATATTTTTAAAATTTGATCCGAAGTGGATTCCTTTTTGAGCACACCCTGTAGCTTATCCATGCCAGTTTTCTGGTCATATCTCAGAAAAAAAAAACAGCTATCTATCTGGAGGGTGTACCAGACGGCGAGCGATTACACGGCTTTAAAGAAAGAAGAAGAACATAAAGAACACTATGACAGTTATTTGCTTTATTGATGATACAAAAAGATATTCAGCTTTGAATTTGTACCCGGGGATTTTCGGAGTCGGCAATCGATTAGAGCTATTCATTTTATTGAGTCAAGAGTCTGGAAAGCTTGGCAAGTGAACCGATCCAGACAACTTTTTGTTTCTAAACTGGTGGATATTCAAACTTAGAACATTTCATTCGAATTTTTTGCTTTAAATTCTTCTAAACTTTAAACCTTTTTGAGCATTTTTGAGCAGCTATTTCCACTAGAGTCCCATTTTAAAGCTAAAACTCTTCTTATCACTATCAAAAATTCGAAATAACCAAGAGAAATCGCTCCTACATGCTTGAAATACTTTAAACTTTCCTCAAAAATGGCATTTTATTTGATTTTTTTAAACACATTTTAAGAAATAAAACTGCAACTGAAGAAGAAAGCTTGATGAAAAGAAGTGTTCATTCAGCTTCCCCAAAAAGCGTGATTCTTTACGATTTTTTGGTTCAAAAACATGTGTATGAAATATGAAACCAAGTCAAAAAAAACCGGAAAAAAAGGCAAACTAGTTATTTCATTTATACAAGATTTCTCTGAACTAAACGCTTTCGATAAAACTTCAACTTTCAGATGTTTTCCATTCGATTTTCGTCATTTTTGGCAGTTTCCCTTCTTCAAATTGTCACCTCAGATTCGATTGAACAAGACCATCAAAGGATACGCAAAAGTCCTTTGGGTAACATTGATTAAGCTTTAAAATATCGAAATCTAAAGTAGAATATCAATAGCTTGGGTTACTGTAGCTAGGCTAAGCTAAGCTAACCTAACCTAGCCTAACTGTATTTAATTAAATATTCAGCTGACTACTCGGATGCCATTCAGCCGTTCATCCGTTTCCGACGAGCCGGCGATGAACTTGATGAGGGAAATCTACAGCATTTCTTGCGATTTAGGTAAAAAATCTAAAAAATTGATAGACTATAAAATAAGGACACGATAGAATGATTTAATAGCTTTAAAAAAAGGGTCTACAAATAGGGATCTAAGCCAAGACAAGTTCAAAAGCTTTAAACAAAGGAAAAGCTCAGTAGAACGATTAAATAGCCTTAAACAAAGGGTTGCCACTGATGTAAGCCAAGGCAAATCCAAAAGCTAGGCCCAGATCCAGGTTCAATTTCCGGCCCAGTTCGAGGTCCAGATCCAGGTCTGACGAAATTTGCGGGCCTTACCTTATTTGCTCTTGGTCCTTTAACAGCCATTTTGTAACAAAGTTACTATAGCTAAAGTTGTGCAGTTAATACTAGACGATACTAGACAATGCTAGACTTTTTCTTATTCTTTGAGCTACGTAAAGGCATTCTTTCTGGTGCACTAATCATTCATATCAACGATTTGAGTGCATCAGAAAGGATGTATTTACAAGTTTTTGAACATAAAGTATAAGCATCCAGAGTTTTCCATGAGTATGATGAACTTTGATGATTCGCCTAGGTTGTAAAAATGAATCCAAATAAAGTACGAGAGTCAAAAAAGTTCCTTTCTAAAAGCAATACGAAAATTGTGCAGAAAATCGGCTTCATCACCCCGATTTCATCGACCATTTCATTCGTTTCCGAAGGAGCGGAGGTGACGAGAATCTTCAGCCATTCCTTCGTTTCAGGTAAAGCATGATAGGTAAAATAAAAATAAAGATGTAAGGTAAATAAAGATTTAGATTGAATTTAGGTTATCTCTAAAATAATATCCGTAAAAGAATTGTTTTTCGCTTAGAAATTTCAATCTCTAGACGTCAATTCGACGATTTGCACCCGTTTTTGCGCTTTCGGCGATCCGTTGATGTCGATCAACAAAAAGGCGTTCAACAACAAGAAATGGTAAATGAAAAAAGTTAGAAAATAACTTGTTAACTAAGTTTTCTTAACTAAATATCTCATTTTTCAGAACCAACAAAAGCTTCGACCCGAGCGTTCGTGGTAAAAAGAAAAAAACAAAGTTATAATTGTTTTCCTCGTTTTTTGATAGAATTTTTCAAATGTGGTGCATTGAAATAAACGTGGTCGATGTTTGATTTGAAGAAAAGGTTTTGAAAGCACACTCAAAAAATACAGAAATCAAAGTGAAACCTAGGATTTGTATGGAAATTATCTTTTCTTCAATCAACAATCCTTTAAACGTCTCACAATCAATGATTCCGGTCGATTCAAAACTTTTTGGTCAATGAGAAATTCAAAAACCGTGAAGATATCCAAAATTGGGTCGCCAAATTTTTCGAGTCACAGCCGGCTGAGTTTTTCAAGAGCGGCATCAATTCTTTGCGCAAAAGATGGCAAGAAGCAATCAATAATAATGGTGAATATATTTTTGGATTAAACTGTGTTGTTTCTGTTTTTAAGGTAAATTTTGTCGACTACTAAAACGCTCGTTTATATCCGAACAACCTAATAAAAAAGTTAAGTCAAATCATTTCAACTTTCAATGTTAAAAACTAAAAATTATCATTTTGCGGTTGGCGAAGAACCTGTATCCGTTCCGTCTTGACCAACTTCATGACTGCGAGCCACAAGTTGGTGTTCATCCGCTCGCAGAGGTCGATCACTAAAACTCTCGAAAAAAACGCACCAAACTCCACGGGTCCACGGCCAGTCAGCCCTGAACAAAGAATTATAATTAAGAGCACCACAAGCTGGAATACCTTAACCCAGTTGCTGGGATCAGAAAGAGAAAAACAATGCCCATTGATGGATTGGGCAGGCCTTGAGGATAAGGCAAGTTGCTAAAATTACACTTTAAATCGACAAGTAACAGAAAAAACTTACCGCAGCTGCTCAATCGGCTGTATCTGTGGTGAGAGTCCAACGGGCATCCAGAGAATGCGAGACCACAAAGAGGCATCCAGTTGAATGTGTCTTGGAAATAATAAAGACTAACAAAATGAAAAAGGCCAAGATTTTTGGGGTTTGTTCGACAAAATATGTTTTGAAATTTAGTCAAAACAAAATGGGTCAAGCTATTAATGTGTAACTGGCCAGTTTGATGAGCCGATTTGTGAATTCCCCACCGGAAAGCTTTCCTTGCAACGATTCGTTGACTTGTGTAACGTTTATTCCTAGAAAATAAATATTAGTTGATAAATACGCCTTTAATTTTAGGGAGCGAATTCAGGTACAATCGAGTGAATTTAGGTATATTAGAAATAATACTTTCTTTTTTCAAAATTCTTTCTTTTTGACACCAAACTCCTGGTCATAGGTCAAAAATTAAATGTTTGGTGCAACTTTTTCTCCTGGCGTAAGTGAAGGGAGGGCTTATGGGACCTCTAATAGAAGCGCATGCTCTAATAGAATGAACTTTCATAGCAATGTTATTCACAATTATATTCCAATAAAAAGCCAGAGAAAAATTTATTGTCACCGGGAAGTCAACAAAAACGTTCACATGAGAACAAGGACGTAAGTTAAAGCAGCACTTGATCGAATGGCAGATGAAACGATAAAGAAACCATTGAAAAGGCGAGAAGAGCCGTCGATGAGAAGACGAGTTGTTACTCTTGCTGCTGCATTCGCACGACCTTGGCAGTTGGGCGGTACACGTCGAAGGTGCATTGGAGATCTTCGTTCACCTAAAGAAAACAAATTAAAACCCATTAAACTTAACAGTCCTTGTGCAATAATTTGAGAAGAAATATGATACCTTCATGGTGGCTGCCGAGTTGTCAAATTGTCCGCAATAGTGGGGTGCAGAGAAGATGGTGACCTAAAGGAAAAAGGTTAGGCAAGCCAAAGATTTCCAGCATTTTGTGCGAGAAAAGACAACTTACCATTTTGCGGCTGGCGAAGAACTCGTATCCGTCTTGAACGACTTGATGAGCGCGAGCCACGAGATCGATGTTCATCCGCTCGCAGAAGTCGATCACCACATCTTGTCCAAAAACGTACGACACACCACGGTTATTTACCTCCCAGCCCTAAACAAAGAATTTGTAATCAAGAACGCCACAAGACGGAATACCTTAACCCAGCGGTCGGGATCAGCCCAGAGAAGATCGATGCCTATCGATGGATTGGGTGGGTCTTGAGGACGAGTCAAGTTACTAAAATTACACTTAAAATTTTATACTTGCGTAACAGAAAAAAACTTACCGTAGCTGCTCGATTTGCTGTATCTGTGGTGAGGAGTCCACCGTGCATGCAGAGAATGCGAGTAGCGATGAGACCGCAAAGAGGCATCCAGTTGAATGTGTCTTGGAAACATTGCCACAGACGCTGGCTCTTGTAGCGACGGTTGCACTCCTCGTAGAAGCCGTAGACACGATTGATAGCGGGACACTCGTGATTGCCGCGAAGCATGAAGAAGCTTTCAGGGTACCTAAAATCGTCCATGCTAGATTATAATAACCATAAAGATTAAATCCTCACTTGATTTTGTAGCAAAACATGAGCGAGATGGTTTCGATATTCTGTTGGCCACGATCAACATAGTCGCCCAAAAAGATGAAATTGGCATCAGGTGGAAAAGTGGTCTTTTCGAAGATACGCAAGAGATCGGAATACTAAAAAAGCAACAACAATAAACCCAGTACTTTCAAATAAGCATACCTGTCCATGAATATCCCCGCAAACAACAATTGGTGGCCCGACTTCGATGAGTGATGGTTGAGACATGAAGACATTCTTTGCGAAGCAACACAGAGACTTCAGTTCGTCTTCTGAAACCTAAACAAAACAAATAAAATTAAAATTTCTTTTAATTTCGCATTGTTGTTGAGCAGCTCGTCCTACGACTAGAACAAATAAAAGAAGCCAGAAATCCAGCCGCGATAAAACGCCAAAACAAAAATAGTTTTAAAAAAAGCAAAAAGCACTCACGCATGTCGTCAAACGTCCTCCGGCCATTCCAACGTTGAGAAGGCGGCCTATCATGTCATCGATGTTGACTTGTCCCATCTTGAGAAGAGCTCCGATGAAGGTTTGAGTAGATGAGAAGAAAAGGTGCCATCTAAACAGTTGAACTTTCTTTTAAATCCTGGATCAATGCAAATTACGTGTTTTAAGATTGAAATTTTGGAGTTGATATGACTTTCCGGGGTTTCAAGTGGGATTAAAATCGTTTACCGCTCAAAAACGGTACCTAATATTTTTCAAGAGCATGCCCCATGCTAAAAAAGTGTTTATTTTGTTTTGAAATTCCCATTGCAAAAGGCTTTTCTTTAGATTGTCTTTTCCCAACCACTCTCTGATAATGGCAATGAAAGTCAAATGTCTAGGAAAAAGTCCACGGGGATCCACTGAACACACAACTCTTGAGCATTGCTTTCAATTGGGTATTTTGATGACTTGAAAAATAACGAAAGGCGAAGGTATTTTAGAATTTCTAAACAGTAAAGACGGAGCCCCTACCCGACAAATGTGCCAACTTTTCCTTGATTAAATTTTAAGTAATATATGCTTTATTCAGGGGCAAATAAAAGCGAATCAGATAATCATAGAAGCACATAACATATCGCCATAATTTTGCACAGAAAAGAAAGAACTCAAAATAGCACACTAAAACTACAGACAGGAAACAGACACAAAAAAATCTAAACACAAGAAAAAGATATTTGTGGCCCTAAAGAGGGCCGTTGGGTTGGGGGTTATCGTTTGCTGAGGTTATTTGCCTCTAATCTGCCTCATCATTCCCGGTCTTGTCGCCAGCTTTGTACTTTGCAAGAAGAACTGGTTGGATATGGGGGACCACGCCTCCTTGTGCGAACGTGACACCCTGCAGCAGTCTATCGAGCTCCTCGTCGTTCTTCACAACCAGCATCAGATGTCGTGGACTAATGGTCACTTTCTTGTTGTCACGAGCTGCATTGCCCGCCAATTCGAGGATTTCCGCGACGAGATACTCCAGCACAGCGGCGAGGTAGACTGGAGCTCCACCACCGATGCGTGCTCCATATTTGCCTTTCTTGAGCATTCGATGAATTCGTCCGACGGGGAAGACGATCCCGGCCCGGTTTGTCCTTGATCGCGCCTGCTTCTTTCCCGATCCGCGCCCAGTCATTTTTGTTGGTTGAGGATTCAGCCGGTCTTCAGCCTGGTAACGAGGGAAACAAGGATAAAGGAAAAGAGCGCCTTATATAGGGTCTGGTGCGAGGGGCGGGATTTAGCTTGCCAATGGCAAAGTCTCGCCAGAGGGGGCGGGGTTTTAGCAGGCTGAAGGCTATTTTTGAGCCTTTTAGCGCACGACATCCCGTTTTTCCTGCAGTCTTACACATTTCGTTGCATCATGCACATGGTTTTCTTTCTCTTTCTCAAATTTCATAGACCTCTCACTTAATTTTTTGGTTTAGGAAGAACAAAGATGGATCGACTCTTGCGTCTCGGAGCACATGCTTTACAGGTAAAAGTCTTTCGGTTTTTTTGGATAAACCTTTCGCTTTTCTTGTGCCATTTTTACTTTTTATTCAGGCAAATGCAACACCGACTGATTCGAATCAAGTGGACACTTCAGAGACTGTCTACATCTCATCACTGGCCTTGTTGAAAATGCTCAAACATGGCAGAGCAGGAGTTCCAATGGAGGTTGGTTAATTAGAATCTCTTTGTTGTTAAGATCATTGATAATGTCTTTAGGTGATGGGTCTAATGCTGGGTGAATTTGTCGACGACTACACTGTAAACGTCATCGATGTTTTTGCAATGCCTCAAAGCGGAACGGTAAAACGAAGTTTCCTAGTTTCTTTTACACAATGATTTAGGGTGTTTCTGTGGAAGCGGTGGATCCTGTTTTTCAAGCCAAAATGTTGGATATGCTAAAACAAACAGGAAGGCCAGAAATGGTTGTTGGGTGGTAAGTGTAGCTTGGAAAAATCTAGCTATAAGGTATGTTTAGGGTACCACTCACATCCCGGATTTGGATGTTGGCTTTCAGGAGTTGACGTGAACACGCAACAGTCTTTTGAAGCTTTATCCGACCGCGCCGTAGCTGTTGTTATTGATCCAATTCAATCAGTCAAGGGGAAGGTCGGAGCTAACGAACTTTATTTTTACTAAACACCATTTTTAGGTTATAATCGATGCTTTTCGAACAATCAACCCACAAAATGCGGCTCTCAATCAAGAGGCTCGTCAAACAACGAGCAACATCGGGCATTGCAGAAACCTAGCATTCAAGTAAGGCCATTTGCAGAAAATTCTCCCATTTTACTCTTTCAGGCGCTTATCCACGGATTGAATCGCCACTATTATTCCATTCAATTGCTTATCGACCACATGAACGAGAGCAGAAGGTTTTTAAAAGTTCAAATGAAATTACCTTCCTTTTTTTAGATGCTCCTCAATTTGCACAAAAGTCTTGGAAGGATGCGATCAATGTAGTCAACTATACGCAGCATGGCGGACAAAATGAAGAAGCGATGAAGAGCATGCTGAAATTGGCCAAAGCATACAAAAAAGTGAGTTGCTGTTAGAATTAAAAGCTAAACTTTATTATTAGATTGTTTTCTTATCAAAATGACCATTTTTATGATTCCAGCTATATTTCGATTTTAGTCCCTCGAAGAGGGAGAAAATGTCGGAACGTGAGCTTGAGATCAAGAATGTCGGAAAAATGGATCCCAAGCGTCATTTGGGAGAATTGGTAAAAACATTGAGCTTCTTGTTTGCTTCATTTTGATTTTTAGGTGAATCAACTTATGGCTGACAACCTCGTGCAAGGCCTTTGCGGAATCATCGATGCTGAAAGTCTCAAGTAAAATCCGATTGTCATATTCATTTCTTCTTGTTCTTGTTTTCGTATTTATACCTTAAATAAATCTTGCTTATCCTTTTTGTTACGGTTGCTTTGATGTTTGATTCTGTGATAAATTTTAAAGATGAGAATAAAAATTTTTGATTAATAGTTACGACATCTAAAGCCTATGTGATTACATCATGCAAAAATATTTTTGAGTTTTGCGGCAGCGAAACCTTGAAGTGGCAATTTTATAATTTCAGATAAAAATTGTAACTTGATCAAGGTTAGAAAGAAAATGCGATTTTAGTGTTGATGAGTTCGTCAAGATCGTTTCTCCAGGCGTTTCGTCCTTTTTGCAACAATCTATCGCTTCGCGGATACAAAGCGGCCGTTGTTACAGAAATTGGCAAGCCTCTAGAAGTTAGGTGAGACGAGATATATTGGTGCTTTTTTCATCCATGCCATTTTAGAGATCTTCCTTCAAAGGGCCAGGCCCCAATGAGCTTGTCGTTGAAGTAGAAAGCTGTGGTTTCAACTATGGAGATTGGAAAATGATTAAAGGAATGTATCATTTGAAGCCAAAGAGACCATTTGTACCAGGTTTGCATCTCAACAAATTTTTTAATTTTTTTGTGTAGGCTTTGAGCTGGCTGGCAATGTTAAAAAAGTCGGTGAAAAGGTGCAAAAATGGAAAGCCAGTGACCGGGTTTTGGTGTTACGGTAATTTTTCACACGTAAATAGTAAATGTGAAAGATCTAAAATGCCATCAGGGCATAATTCACTTTTTGTATTTAGGAGACATGGAACGGGCGGTTTTGCCGAAGAATGCATTGTTAAGGAACACGATTTGATTTACAAGTAAATTTGCAGGAATTATCAAGTTATCAAATCAAATTTTATTTTAGCTTACCGTTTTCTATCAATTACGAGACAGCGGCAGCTGTAGCAGTCACCTATGGAACAGCCTATGTTTCTTTGGCAAATATGGCTCGTGAAAGACAGGGGTGAATTTTTTATGCGTTGTAGAAGTAAAGTTTATATTTGATTCGGTAGATCGCTTCCCTCAAAAGATTCCAAAAGCAGGTAAGACGTGTTGTAGATTAAGAAGTTGTTTTGTCTGTTACGCCTCTAACGCTTTCTAAAGCAAAATGTAGACATTCTACTCTTTAATGAGGGAGTATTTATGAACTTAAAATGTGTACTTCAGGAGTTCTGTTCTGGTCCTCTCCGCTCGTGGTACTATGGGATTTGCTGCAATTGATCTAGCTCAAAACGTTTTTGCTGCTCAAGTAATATTTTTTCTTTTAGATATAAAAAGATAGTTCAGGTCTTTGCCGCTTCGGATGACGAAGAGAAATTAGAAAAACTTCGGACCACTGGAGTGCAGCGAACGATCAACTGGGAGAAAGAAGATTTGGTTAAGGTAAACATTGTTCTGATTCAAATAGCTTGTAATATTTTGGAAGCTTATGGTTTTAAAAAGTAAGTTTATTGTGAGCTGTTATAGAATACCGTTGTTCAGGTGATTCGCAAAGATACTTTCAATGAAGGTGTAGACGTGGTTGTCGATACTGTTGGTGGAAAAGTCTTTCACACAGCTTTGGAATCGTAAGTGTTTGACTAATCTGTTGTTATATTTAAAAATCTAGGCTGAAGAAAGGTGGTCATTTGGTCTCGCTCTCGTTTGCATCTGGCGAAATTCCTTCAGTCTCATTGTTAGATCTACATCGGTTACAAGCAACTGTAACAGGTAAATAAAGATTATTACTGATGCTGGAATGCTTCGTTTGCAGGTGTGTGGTTGGGTGGACGAACGGCTTCTGAAATTGATGCGATAATGTCGACGATTATTGGACTTTTTGACGAAGGCTACTTGAGTGCTCGAATAGAAGCTAAATATGGTCTCGATCAGGTTCGTATTAAATTATGGCAGCAAAGTTTCCTTTATAGGTGAATCAACTTGTGAACGACATCGAAACAAACAAAATTTTTGGCAAAGTGATTGTCAATCCAAAAGGAGTCATTTAGAAATCTTTGCTCTAATCATGTTCATTGGTATATAAATATTTTATATGTTATTGCTATCATTTTTTAGTTTGTATATATTTTAGTTGTTGCAGGTTAGTCGAATAAAAAGTTTTGAATTCATTTGCAATCTCAAATAAAGCGTTACTTTGCTTAGAATTTCTCAAATTTAGCTCAATACGTCGCAAGCGTACTTATGAAATGTAAGATGAAGCGTTACTTTGCTTAAAAATGTTTTAAATTAATTCAATTAAGTCACGTATTGCAGGACGTTTTAGATGTTAAGGAGGTTATGCACGAAAACAATATGCACAAGGCGATTGTGGAGCCTGGCACCTCGTCTCTAGAGGTGCATTTAAAGAAATGAATAAGAAATTAAATCTGAAAATTTAGTTTTACGTTTTGACGGCAAAACCAAATCAACTCCAAGTCAGATGCCATTCAAGATTTGTGATTTCCATGGAGAAAGCTTTGAATCATCTTGAGAATATCGTTTACGGTATGTTTCCTACTTGAATTCGCTAATTTGTAAAGCTTCTTTAACTTATATATTTTTAGCTAGACAAGCTCGAAATGGAGACCGATTAAAAAACGCACAACGGTTACGAAGTCAGAAACGAGACGAGCAAAACGAAAAAACGACTTCTGAATCCGAAGAATCGAGCGATAATAAAGACAAGGAGGAGAACGAGCAAGAGAAAAAAGCCGAGGAAATGGCGAGGAAAATATCAAGGGTAAGCGCTAGTTGACTCACTACAAGTCGGCAAGGCATAACATACAAAAATGTTAAAATTGTTTTTAGTTATTTGCGGTCGCCCTTTTCTGTGCGGGCATTCTCTACATGATCAACTCATCGGGTGATATTGGGAACAGTGTCGATGAAATTTCGTGGACCACATTCACCGAGCAGATGTTACCAACAAAAGCGGTAAAATATTTAAATTTGGTTTTAATTTGATTGCATTTAGATACGAGAGATTGTCGTTTTCAACGAGAAAGAAATAGCTATTCTGCACATTTGGAGCGATGCTCGAGGACTGGATGGAGAAAAGGTTTACTTAAAACGGCTATGATTATTCGATTTCTTACAGTTGAAACCAGTCTACAAACTTCGGGTTCCCTCGATAAGTCGGCTTGAATCAGAGGTTAAAATCTCTTATTTATTCATCCAAGTTTTGCTTTAGCTTCGAGCCGCTGAAGCCGCTCTAAACATGCCGCCCGAATATTGGATTCCCGTCAAATATAAACGGCTTGATGAGATGTGAGAGATCTTGTTTTGTAGTTAATTTAGTATTTTCAATTTAGAAGTTCAACCTTAAATCTGATATTTCTTGGTCTGCTTTTGCTACCGGATATTATATCTTCAAGAAGGCCAAATTTTCAATTAATATGACGGACATGATGGTACTTTTTTCTCTTCTATTTGATTCATTTATTAATTTCAGGGCCAAATGACGAAACAAAAATTAAACATCATCGATCCCCACTCTCCAGATGGCAAGAAAGCTCTAAAGATAAAATTCAAAGTAAGGTTTAAATATATTCTAAAAAATTTAACAAAACTTTCAGGATGTGGCAGGGTGTCATGAAGCCAAAGTTGAAATCAAAGAATTTGTCGACTACTTGAAGAACTCGAGCAAGTATACGGTAATCGCTTTTGTTAGATCTTTTAAAGTTATTTCTAGAAATTGGGACCAAACTACCAAAAGGAGCTTTATTGACTGGGCCACCGGGGTGCGGGAAAACGCTGCTAGCACGAGCTTTGGCCGCTGAAAGCACGGTTCCCTTCATCTCGATGAATGGAACGGAGTTTGTAGAAATGATTGGAGGTAAAAATATTTTACAAGTTTATTGGAGATTGTTAACATCAAAGGATCATTTTATTTGTTTGTTTTAGGTCTTGGTGCATCGAGAATACGAGGATTGTTTAAAGAAGCAAAACAACGTGCACCGTGTATCATCTATATTGACGAAATCGATGCAATTGGGCGGAAACGGAGCGAAGCTGGAGGGAAAAACGGTAATATTAGCATAGAGATAATTAGTTAGTAGGGATAGTTAGCGATAGTTGTTTTTCAGCCCAATCATTTTTTAGGGTTTGCCGGTTCTTCCGAAGAGGAGCAGACATTAAACCAACTTCTCGTAGAAATGGATGGAATGGATTCAGCCAAAGGAGTTGTCGTCTTGGCTTCAACGAATAGACCTGATGTTCTTGATAAGGTGAAACAGATCAATTTCATGTAATTGATAAAAATTTAGGCTTTATTGAGAAGAGGTCGTTTTGATCGCCATGTCTCCATTGATCTCCCTACTGTTGCTGAACGGAAAGAGATGTTCGAGCTCTATCTCAAGTTAGAATATGCATATCTTATTCAAAATTTCTTTTGTAGGAAAATCAAGACCGATTTCGCCTCGACTAAGTACTCGGAACGACTTGCGCAAATGACACCTGGATTTTCTGGTTTGGTGTTATGCTTTTATAACATACGGTCATGTGCAAAAGTCCTTTAACACTCAATTTTCTAAAAAGTTTCATCAATTTTCTTTGATAAAGTTCATGGCACTCTTTAAGCCATTGATCATTGATCTTTTAGTTACACAAATATATGTACAATTTATTTATTCAAACGTTATCGCTATGCACAACACTTATTCATCGAGAAAAACCATAATTGTCAAAACACCCCTGAAAATCGTTGGTGCAAAAGTCTTTTAACACAAGATGAAATTAAGCTATAATCAATGTTTTCGCGGTCCTCCTTTGTAAAAGTACTTCTTTAATACGAGTAGGCATCGATGTAATTAATTCATCAAAAATCCAGGTCCAATCCTCCTAAAAATTTTACTGATATATGATTGATCCCAAACCATCCCGACCAATGTGCTTTTTCTTCATTCGAGAGAGTCACAACGCGACCCATTAAAAGTTTGGTTTTGTGTACTGACGAATTATCTTTAATCAACGAAAATCACTCGGGCCCAATCATCGACTGTTCAGCTTGAATATGTTCGAGCAAATTGAAGATGTTGCCTCCTGTGTTTGGCTGTCATTATAGGCTTGAGGGCAGGCTAGTATACAATGCTGCTTGAAGTAAGCGTCGATGCAAGGTCCAGCAGGAGATATTCTTGTTTGAAGTTTGCTTGAAAGAATGACTCCATCGTTCAACGTCAAATTCAGATCCTTTTGAAAGCTTTTGTAAGGAATCGGTCTTCATTCTTTGTTGTAATCCTCAGTCGGCCTTTTTCCTACATCTGTGCACCTTCCAGACGCATTCATTTTTGCCGTAACAAGAGAAAATGTTGTGGGCGTACATCCTAAGAGGCGAGCAACGTCTTGTTGTGGCATTCCTTAGCTTCCTTGCCTTGACGACCATTTCTTTATCCAGAGTTGACAAATACGCTCTTGGCATCTAAAAAATAAATTAGTACCAGTAAATATGAAGCGAACAAAAATAATGAAAACTTTTGCAAGTGTTAAAAGACTTTTGCACCACGATTTGCAGGGATGACAATTATATTTTTCTCGATGAATAAGTGTTGTACAGCGACAACGTTTGTGTAAGTAAATTGCACATATATTTGTGTAACTAAAACTATTAATAGCTTAAAGAGCGCCATGAACTTTGTCAAAAAATCGATGAAACTTTTTAGAAAATGTGTATTAAAAGACTTTTGCACATGACTGTAGTTAAATGTTTAGGAGCCGATATTCGAAATGCTGTCAATGAGGCAGCAATTAAGGCCGCCACCGATAATTTGTTGCAGGTGTCCGTCAAAGAAATGGAGTATGCAATGGACAAGATTATTGCAGGTAAGCTTTTACTTCTTAATTTTCAGTATTTTAAACTGGAGTTTTAAAACCTAAATTTTAGGGGCCTGCAAAACGCTCTCGTACACTGGTAAAAGAAGAGCGAGCAACAGTTGCATATCATGAGGCTGGACATGCTCTTGTCGGATGGATGCTTGAACACGGATGTCTTCTCAAGGTATGCTTTTGAGTCAAATCAAACTATTCAGTTTATCTAGGTTACGATTATTCAGCGAACATCAGCTGCCCTTGGCTTTGCTCCAATATTGCCCAAGGGACAAAAGCTGTTTACAAAAGAAGAGGTAATCTGTTAAAAAAAACTTTCAAATAAACCAACTTTAGCTTTTTGAGAGAATGTGCATGATGCTAGGCGGACGAGCTGCCGAGAATCTAAGTTCGGTCGAATAACAACAGGAGCTCAAAATGATCTTGAAAAGGTAAAAAACAGTAGTTTTTAATTTGCAGTTTTTAGGTGACAGAAAAGCGCAATGGCTCAAGTAAAAAATTATGGATTTTCGCCGATCATTGGGCCACTTTCGTTGCGGTGCAAGATGAGAGAGCCGCCTCGTTTATGAAAAACCCTACAGTCAGAAATTACAGGCGACTATTGATCAGGTTAGTGGCTTTGAATGAAATTAAACAATAGAGATATTTTGATCTTCGTTATTTCACCCACAGATGTTTTAGAATTTGGAAATGATCCTATATTCTAGTTCTTTTTTCTAGGAAGCATCATTGCTTGTTGGACAAGCGTATCGAGCAACTGAAGAAGCTTATTCAGAGAACATTGACAAACTGGAATTGGTTCGGTTTTCTTTTGCATCGAATGTAAATTAAATTTTCAGATTGCTGAAGTCTACCCTAAAACATGAGGTTCTTTCGTGTGAAGATGTGAAGAAGTTGATTGGATTTCCGCCGTTCGGAGAAAAACAGGTTGGCATTGTTGTCATTGCAGCAATTTTGTGGACTCTCAGGTGGTCGATCTCGTCGAGAACAGTCTACCGAAAGACGGTGAATGATCGTAGTATCGTAATCGTATAGTCAATATGGTATTTTTGTTGGTTTTCCTTTTTGGTTTTTTACCTAATTTTTATTGTAAATATTTATTTTGCAGATAAATGATTGGGAATGACACAAGCAATGAAAAGTGAGCAGTAATTTGAGCAAATTGGCGGAGGGGAGCTGGCAATTACGCCCACTTTGGTTGAGCACAAGGAAATAGTGTTCGTGGGCGGAACAATCCGTCCGCCAATCACCGGATGAACAGAAGTGGAGAACTCGGCTTCACGACTGAAAGTGAAAAATAGTTGTTTAGCTAATAGACTTATCTATGATTTAGACGTTTGCTGCAATTCTTGATGATTGTAAGATCCTATGGTTCGGGGCAAAACTGCGTTTAGCTACAAACCTTCTCTTCATCTTCGCAATGGCGACCACGTAGGAGAGTGGGCAAAGGAGGGTGTAATAGGGATAGAACTGAAATAAGATTTTTTTAGGTTTGTTTTGGCTTTTTAGCTAGATTTATCAATTCCGCATTGCGATCTTATTTATCTTGCCTGCATTTTCTAAAAATCTTGCATTTATCAATCCTTGTGCTGTTTTCGTGTCACATAGTCCAAATCAGGGAACCAACTGCGGATGGCAATCGAGAGAAGATTGTAGAGAATGACGGTGGTTGCGTGAAGAGGATCACCGGTGAGAAGGGCTCTGGGGGATAGCCGAAGATTCGAACTTGCATATCAAACGTCGTTTTACCTGTGAATATCGCAGCTGATAGGATAACTCGAGGCTCTGCCCCGTGGCTGAGCTGGAAAATGGAATTTCGCGTTTTAGCTTTATCGTATTTCTCATTCATACACGGGGCTTACGCTAGGTTTTCTTGAATATATTTTTTAGGAAAATATTGGACTAGTTTCCAAAAACATGTCGTCTTTTGAAAACTACCGTAATCCTGTCTCTACTTTTACCCTATAAATTTCGAATACTTCGAGGGTTCTCTGAAGATTGGATTGGATTGGATAAACGTGGATCGATTTGAATCAAGAATAAAGAAGTAAAGGTTACGGTAGAAAAGTTTTAAAAGTTGACACTTTTGAAAGCACTTACCTATGAAGGTCAAAAATAGCAATTTCTACCGTCTTCTGATTTGTCGTGAGCAGAGAAATGAAGCAAGAAGAGATCCCAAAAAACGGTGATCACATCGACAAAGATCCCCAGAAATGAAAGTGCGTTCGCGATTGGGATCATCGACTGAAATGAGCTGATTGCAGAGTTTCTTACTAGGGAAAATCTCTTGAGATGAGCAAGCATATTTAAGCAAGCAAACAAATCTTACACCCACCGGCGTGTCTTCCAGTACAATTAAGCACATAGACACTTAGGTGTCCTCTTGGGAAAAAATCGAGACGAAAACGATGGCGATGATGACAATCATCTACAGGATGAAGTTTAAAAGATAAGACTCGAATTGCTAGCTTAAATTTAGAAATATAAAATTTTCAGCTACGCAGAGAAATGGTTAAGAGTTTCGGGTACTCTTGTGCCTTTTTCGACCATCTTTTGCATTTATTAGACGGTAGTAACAAGTAGTGGATTTCGTCAAGCGCCTGCAAAGAACTGCTTTTCAGTATAACGCACAAGAATGGAATGGAAATTGAGACTATGAATCGGATCGTAGGCCGTAGTTATGCAATAGACATTGACCTTTTAGTCGAAAGCAAGTTAGTCCCAATATTTATCAAACAACTCTTGATTTTCTATTAGAAATAAAAATTGTATCCAGGCTTTAGAAAGAAGGGCTTTCCGTAATGTGGAACTCGTTTTCTATTGTGCAATTTTGGCTCAAATAAAAAGTACAGTCGACGCCAATTTGCTTGTATCTCCCCGATCCATTTATGAAAATTAAGTTTCACTTGTTTTTTCCCAACAAAAACTCAAGACTTTTCAATATTCCCAGAATTTATTGAAACTAAGTCGACCTTTCAGCAAATCTGTAGAGACGAAAAGAGAACTGTGGAAAAACCGGTGAGGGAATGTACCGGATTGTACTGGATTTAGGCCCAGATCAAGCCCAAATAGTTTAACCAGTGAATTGGAAAACTTGAGCAAAAAATCCTACCTTGCTGTCAGTTTACATCAATAGCAACTAAGCACTTGATTTTGATCGAAAACAAAAGAAAAACCCTTAATTAGTTAACCTAATCCACGGGAACTATAAAGGAGCCATCAAGGAATTAAATAGGAACTATAAAGGAACTAAATAGGAACCATCAAGGAATTAAACAGGAACTATAAAGGAGCTAAATAGGAACCATCAAGGAACTAAATAGGAACTATCAAGGAATTAAACAGGAATTATAAAGGAACTAAATAGGAAATATACAGGAATTTCATGAAATCACCGTAATGCATTCCGAGTTTCCCTCCGCTAAACCAAAGACTTTTGTACTTTTTCTTTTCAAAGCAAATTCCCTAAATGAAATCAGTTTTTTTTTTCTTGCACCTGTATTCCGATGAAAATTTTCACAGCATTTTCTTGCAATGGCGCCACTTTTCCTTTGGTTTTAGGTGGATTTTTGATGTAAAATATGACGATCGCTCGCTCGACCACGACAAAGAGGAAAGCCAGTGAGAGGGAAAATGAGAGACACATCTAAAAACAAAGAAAAATGAAACTTTTTAGGCTGTATGTAGCAAAGCTCTAACTCTAATAATTTGGGAATTCTCATCATCGATTTTCTTTCAAAGTTTTTCTACTTTTAACCACAAGACTGAGAAAGGATGAGATTGATTTGAATTCTTGATTTTATCAATAATATTAGATTGATTGATTTGAATTCTTGATTTTATCAATAATATTACAAGTCGAGAACCGCAGGGCTTTTCAGAATCTCCCTTTGTCTTTTCTCCTGTCTCCCAAACGTCTTTTCCCTTTGATCTAATATAGATAAGTTCAGTTTAGTCCTTAATAAATCGTTCTTTTAAAAAAACTAAAATAGATTGGATATAGTTTCTAATAAAAGTTGCTTCTAAAGTTAAGATTGTGCTTACATGTACGATTTTGAAAGGCAAACACCCGGGTGAAGTGAACACGAATTCACAGGGATCTGTCGACTCGAAAAGACGACGTAAAATAAACGGATAACACTGAAATTAACACATAGTTATTAAGTGAGAAAAAAGAACTAAGAACAACTCACATTGCAAGCAATATTGTTGAACGAGTAGAGCAACAAAATGAACACTTTAAAGATGATTAGACCCTGGAAAGTTTTCAGTCTTCAGTTTCTAACAATCCAAAAACAAAAACCAAGCCGATTCAAGTTTATTTGCGCCTAAATTCCATTCAATTTCCAAATAAACCATTCATTTTCTTGTAGTAACTGTTGAAATAAAGACTTAAGAAATAATAGAGCTTGACTGGATTTTTGATGAAAACCATTTTGATGAAAACCAGGCGACACGACACACGAGTCGGATTCGCCTCATTTACTCAGAGTTGGTTCTGATTTTCTTGAACTGGATTATCCAATTAACTTTTATTTAGTATCATTTGAAAGCCTGAAATGTCCTCTGTACAATGATATAAAAAGTTAGCAAAAATATTCTCTCTGGACAAATTTATAGGCCCTCGAAGCGTGACGATCCGTTCAAAATCCCCGGGAGCTATGGAAGAGTTGAAATTTCTAATTCTTTGAAAAAGTTTCAGAATTTTGGAAGATCTTTCATTCCCATGAAAACCAGGCGAAACGACAATCGGATAGACAGAAGGAATGTTTTTAGAAATGTTTTTGGAAACGTTTTTAGAAATGAAGGGATCTCTTTAGAAATTTTGAGCACATCCGCTAATTTTCAAAAGCACTTACATTTCTCTGATCGTGAATCCAAAAGCTTCGTCTTAAAATATAATAAATAATGATGAAAAGCGATGAAATAGCGACAAAAGATTTCACCTAAATCAAGCAGAAAATAACATAGAAATTTCAACTCTTCCATAGCTCCCGGGGATTTTGAACGGATCGTCACGCTTCGAGGGCCTATAAATTTGTCCAGAGAGAAGATTTTTGTTAACTTTTTATACCATTGTATAGAGGACATTTCAGGCTTTCAAATGATACCAAATAGAGTTTGACTGGATTTTTCATTCCGATGAAAACCAGGCGACACGACACACGAGTCGGATAGGCCTTATTTACTCAGAGTTGGCTCTGATTTTCTTGAACTGGATTATTCAATTAACTTTTATTTAGTATTATTTGAAAGCCTGAAATGTCCTCTGTACAATGATATAAAAAGTTAACAAAAATATTCTCTCTGGACAAAGTTATAGGCCCTTAAAGCGTGACGATCCGTTCAAAATACCCGGGAACTATGGAAGAGTTGAAATTTCTAATTCTTTGAAAAAGTTGTAGAGTTTTGGAGAGAGCTTTTAAATTTGAATACTTAACGATTAGATTTATTGATGGTTTTTCTAAAAACAATGCTTTTTCTCATAATTTGTATCACTTACCGCATTCTGAATGGAGTAAACGGTGAAAAAGGCCAAATGGGCGGCCGTTTCGCAATAAAATGTGATATTTGTGTCCATTTTGACTGAATCGCTTTTAAATTTCTAAAAGCTAAAAGCTGAAAGCCATAAAGCAAAAAAAAAATTCAAAATTTCAACAAATTTACAGAGTTTTGAGCCAAAAAAAAAACCTTGCCGATCTTTAAAACCTTGCCGATTTTCACAACATTTTCACAAGAGAATTACTCGAAGAGAAATTTTCGTTTAATTAGTGGAAAAGATCAAAAATGAAAATAGAAAGCTTAGAAAAAAAAGAGAGAAAATGTAAAAAGTGTTTGCAAATTGCATTCTCCCCAATTCTAGTTGACTAATTGCTCTAAACGATCACCAAAACTTACTTAAAATAACTTGATGACAAAAATTTTCAACTTTTCCTGAATTGTTTACATTGTAGACTTGTCTCTGGACAAAGTTATAGGCCCTCAAAGCGTGACGATCCGTTCAAAATACTCGGGAACTATGGGAATTTGAAAAATTACTTAAAATTCATTCAAATCAAACTCTTGCAACTCTTTTTTTTTTGCAAAGCTTAATTGAAATGGGGGAAACTTTTGTTAGAACTTTGTTAGAACGGAAATTAAACGATTCTCGAGGTTGTGCTTCTGCTTTTGTGCTTTCTCGAGGTTGTGCTTCTGCTTCTGCACATGCTTTTGTGCTTTGGACTTTGCTCACAAAGATAAATACATCCTTTTTGGCGCACTAGATTCCCTGTAACGAGAAAAGGGGAAAGAAAGAAAGGAAACATAAAAAAACCAACGTTATATTGGGTTGGGGAGAATGAGTCGGCGCCGAAAATCAAAGAAATTTCTAAAACTTATAGCAGACTTTGTCAAATGATATGCGTTTGATATCCGTAGAAGGGTAACTAATTCTCTACAAAATAATATTTAAAAGAGAACTCAAACAGCGCCTCAACTCAACAAAGGATCATTTTTTTCACAAAATCGATAAACTGTCATCTAGAGTAAACGGTTGGAGGGATCTTCCTGAAAATTTGATAACTTATGTAATTGAGTGTGCTCTATCTTTTTTATATAAACACCAAAGGAGGTTTATGTGGAAGAAAACTGTTCAAGCAATGAGTCGAACTTTTTGTCATTTTGATTAGCTGTGTTTGGGAATCCATAAAATCCCAAAAAAGAAAAGCTTTGTGGAGGAAAAGCTTTTGCTCAAAAGCCATTTTGTAAAAAAATAGTGGACCATTTTGATGAAAAAAAACGTGTATTTAAAGAAGGGTTTTATGGGTGCAAAAAGTTTCTTTAAATTTCGGCGCCGACTCATTCTCCCCAACCCAATAAGCCCTGTACGTTTTTTTTTTGGGAGAGCGTCTCAAACTCAACCATTTCCAACGTATAATGGCTCAGTAGAAAGCTGAATTCAAGACGAATAAGCTGGACAAAGCCGTTTTTGAATTCATTCAATTTTAAACTTTTTACTGGCGACTGAGTGAGCTCAGTCACGCCCAAAAAAGTGCCGAAATCTATTTCGATAGTTTTTTGTTTGATAACATAGGCTAAAAACACGTCATTCGTACTTAGCGCTTTAAATTCCCCTTAGAAACTCATTTTTGAGAATTTTGCAAAAAAAAGTCAAAAATTTTGTCGCGAGCCGGGATCGAACCCTTGACCCTCAGAGCGATAGCCGTCGCATTGATCTCCCTCTTTCTTTCTCGTTTTTTGGCTAAATTTAAGCTTAAAAAACCTCAAGGAATAATAAAAAAATCCCAAAAAAGAAAAGCTTTGTGGAATCTCTCAAAAGCCATTTTGTAAAGAAATAGTGGACCATTTTGATGAAACAAAACGTGTATTTAAAGAAGGCTTTATGGGTGCAAAAAAGTTTCTTTAAATTTCGGCGCCGACTCATTCTCCCCAACCCAATACAATAGTTATACAAAAAATACAATAGAAATACAATAGAAAACGGTAAACGTTAAAATAGAATAGAAAACGTTTAAAACAACGCCGTCAAATTTCTAACAATCCAAGTACCCAAATCAAACCGGTTTAAGTTTTATATCAAAAAAATTCCTTGCGTTCTTGGTTACATAATGGGTGAAACAGTTTTTTTTAACAAAAAGTTATTTAATAGATAAAAAGAGCGCGGGTAGGCCAGTTTCCGCAATTTTTTTTTGGCGCAATAGGGTCATTTACGCAATTGCGTCGTTTGCGCAACTCGCCATAACTTCTTCCGCAACTTTCTTCTTTAAGTAAATCAATCTTTCATTTTGACGAATTCGATCTTATTGCCATGTCAAATTTGCTCTATATTTAATCTTTTTATACCTGTGTTTCCTAACTGTAGTCTTACTTTACTTTACTACATTTTACTTTTACTACATTTTTAGTTTTCTTTCTTTTTTTGTGAAAGTATTGTAGCAATATGTTATACCATATTTCTTCGAATAGAAGACCGGGTAAAGAGTATCATCGCGTACTCCTGCGTAGCAGTCCTTTTTAAAATTTCTTTTTTGCATAAAAAGCTTTCAATCAAGTGCTATAGAGCTGGAAAATAACTCAAAAATACGACATGAGCTAACAGATTTTTGAGCCATTTTCCAGCTCTATAGCACTTGATTGAAAGCTTTTATGCAGAAAAGAAATTTTAAAAAGGACTGCTACGCAGGAGTACGCAATGATACTCTTTACCCGGTCTTCTATTCGAAGAAATACGGTATATGGGGTTATGACTATCTGATTGGCTTCTATTCGCCAATGAATAAAGCATATATATAATATTATAATAATGGGAAAAAGAACCAATCTTTCTAGCCGCCGAGATCGAGCCGTTAACCTTAACCCGACTAAGAGACAAGACTCCTGTCCGGTCGGCTACATGGCTATGGCTACAGGCCGCCGCCACGTCGCCGCGGCTTCTTCGGCGCCGCCTCCTCGGCTCCGCCTGGGCCCCCCCCCCCAGCGGCCGCCGCCACGGCCACCGCCCCAAAACCCCCGCCACAAAAGCTATGGCTACAAGACTCCTATCCGGTCAGCAATATGTGAGATGCGGTTATGACTATCTGATTCCCTTCTATTCGCCCATGAATAAAGCATATATATTTGTTGCACTTATTGTATCGATCTACAAAATGAAGTCAAAAGGAATTGAGTCAGAGTCAATGACTTCTGATTTTTCATTTTTAATTTTCAATGGTCAAGAGCATTGAAAGTCCTCAAATGCTGAACTCTTGAATCCAGATGAGATAAAGAAAAGTCAAAAAATTGAATTTTAAAAGAGTTTCGACGAAAAACGAATGAATCAATGTTCAATTAGTTCACTTGGTTGGGTATTTTACAAGTAAAAATCGAAAAAAAAAAGAATTGCTCATTTTATTGAAGTCTGCACCTGGCTTCTCTTACTTCTGTTTAGAAAGAGATTGAAAAAAAAAAACGCGAATTAGAGGTTACGATGAAAATTTCCTTTTGAAAGCTTAATTATAGATGTTTTCGGGGAGAATTATCCCCTTTTTTTTTGAACTTACTTTTTTGACAAATAAAAATTTGTGATCTCATTTTAATTCTAGGAATTTTTAAGTAAAAAGATGCCTTTTTTTGTTTACATTTTTGCTATAGAAATCAAGAGCATTGAAAGTCCTTAAATGGTCAACTTTTGAATCCAGATGAGATAAAGAAAAGCCAAAAAATTGAATTTTAAAAGAGTTTCGACGAAAAACGAATGAATCAAGCTATGCTATTGAAAGAAAGTTTCGAGAAATTGAAATAAATTGAAATAAATTGAAATAAATTGAAATAAATTGAAATAAATTGAAATAAATTGAAATAAATTGAAATAAATTAAAAGATACTTTATTCAACATGAATAAGTGGATACAACACAACGGAGGACACAATTTTTACCCCTACAATGTAGTTAAGAAAAAACCCAACTTAATGGGAAAAAGAACACACTTGATTTTGCCAGCGAGATCGAAATCTCGACCTTCCGATTAGGAGACAAGACTCCTAACCAGTCGGCCAACTGGAGTATAAATTGAAATAAATTGAAATAAATTGAAATAAATTGAAATAAATTGAAATAAATTGAAATAAATTGAAATAAATTGAAATAAATTGAAATAAATTGAAATAAATTGTCTTTAAGCGCTTAAATTAATACTTTTAAATCATGAAAATGTAATTTTTGTTAAATAAAATAAATAAATAAATAAAGCTAAATAAAGCTAAATAAATAAAGCTATGATTTATCTAGAAATAAATTTGAATTATATAATTTGAAAATAGAATAGAATAATCCATGCAATAGAATATCCATCCTTTTATAGCGAAAGACAAAACGAGTAATCGATTCTTGAATTCACAATCGGGCTCATCATTGAATAAGTGCCACCAGAAAGACTCCACTTCTTTAGAAGAAATCTAGAAATCGAAAGCTTTCTTTCATCGACAAATTTGCCCGTAAAGCTGAACTCTGTCTTTAAGCGCTTTACTATAACCTGCCCTACTCTAATCACTCATTCATAACGGAGATTCACTTCTGCAGAAATCCTTGACACTTCATCTTCTCGTCATTATGCACTTTCTCATATCCATCCTCCTCATCCACACTAACTCCCAATAAAATAAGCGATCTCGCGATTGGCGGAGGGGATTTCATCGGTTGACCGTCGTCCGTCCATGCGTGAAGGGATAAAGGAGAATCCCATCTAGATTTTGCCAAATTTATCGGAATTGATAGCTGTAATCCTTTTTCATTATTTGAATGCAAAAACTTCGAAAAATCAAAAAAAGTTCCAACCAACCGGATTCGAACCAGTGACCTAAGGATAGCTGCTCGCTCTACAGTCCTCCGCTCTACCAACTGAGCTATGGTTGGGTTGGGGAGAGAGGGAGAATTTGCTGCCAAATCAGATTCCAATCAATTTTTTGGGTTTCAAAGGAATAGAAAAGGCTTTGGGGATAAAAATTTATTTAAAAATTTATTTTTAAAAATCTTAACTTTCAAGGCTGAAAAGAGACCACAACTTGCTTGTTTTTTTGGAAATTTTTCAAGAATTTGTTTATAAT